GACCATGACACGTAATGGGAAGTTCAAATTTGTTCGCGCACATTGTTACGTCTGTCACGTATTAGCTCTCTCTGTCCTTGACTTTTCATGTAGTTTGGAATGAGGAATATTTTTGGATTGACTTCCGGCTCACGTACAGATGATTATTTAGTTCGTCTGCTTGCAAACAGTTACTGGAGTTGTATTGAAAGCCTTTCTGTAGTGCCTCTTTTGAGTATAGACTGGTAAGTATATGATTAAGTCTTACTTTATCAGTATTTTACATTGTATTCAAAGGAAGGCCGGTTACAAGCTATGCAAAACTTTAAGGCTTTGAACTAAGGAGCTACGACACGGTTCGTGCATTTTGAGAAATTTAGCCGCCTAAACTTTTCAAGTNTTTGAAGAACGTCATTTCGACAGGTGTCCTTTATGACTAAAATGTCAGTTAACCCCGCTTGTTTGGGCTTACTTAAATAAAGTTACTATTAAACTTAAATATAGTTATTATTATTATTGGGCTGCGTTAGCTGTTGTTGATATGTGTTTGCCGAAGAAAATGAAAAGTTTACTTAATCCATAGCAATATTTGACAACAGCATGATAAAATGTGAGATGGTTTTGACGGTTGAGTGACTCGTAAAGTCTTGTAGCTAATTTTAATGCGTTGGGAATAACTTAGTTCCTGAATCAGCGTAATGTAAAAGATTACGGGGAGGGGGGAGGGGGGTCCCTGACGCACACCACACAATATAGTTATGTGTAGGCGCCATATGTATAAGGTGTTGTTTTTGCCCCCTTCCGAGTCTGAAATTAAATTGGGTACGGTTTTGTACACTTTCTTTAACCGGCTGCAGTCTGGAATTGGTTGTGATTTTTAGCAGACGTAACTTTTTGTGATTATTTTTTTCTTAGGACAAGCATTTTGAGTATGAAATAGGGTACGGAAAATCATTTGATTGTTGTGACATAGGTAAGGGTTTCGAGAAGCATACCGCACAACCCTGCTCGAATTTTTCGGGAGTACTCAATTATAAATAGGTTACTAAAACAATCTGTATCAAGAGAAAATGAGGAGATCATGGTCTCTTGTCGGTATATATTCGGCAATACATCAAGCAAAGGACTGACCTCGCCTGGAAATTTTGAGATAATTGTGACCACTATTGTTTTTTTGTTGTTGTTTTCTTTTAGGTACCATGAGTACTAAAGAAACTGGTTTGGCTTTTTCGGGCGGCGGCATTCGGTCAGCGGCGCTGTGCTCTGGAGTCCTGCGCAGACTGCTCCAGGAGAAAGCAAAAGTAGAATATATAAGCTGCGTGTCAGGGGGTGGTTACACGGGCACTTCCTTTCTGGATTGGAAATACCGAAAAGAGAAGAAAGAGGACGACGTTGAAGAATGGCATGAGGAGTTCTTCGACCACATGCGACGAAAAGCAGGGTATTTATGTGACTGGGAGAAGCCACTGATAGGAATCCGAGATACGATAGTACTGTTTTTCCTGGTGCTCATCGTCACCTTCATTTTGCCGAATGTCATTTATGGGTCTTACGCATTTCCTGTTGCCTTCATCATCGATTACATGTTCGGAAAGTACCTTCGAGACCAGGAGGATTGTGATAATGCTACAGCGATCGGGATTCATCAGAGTGACCAGAACGCCACGCCTCAAGAAATCCGCCAACATTGTCTTTCTCGTCAAGGAACCAAGGCTTCCGCCAAGATTCTCCTATTTTCCATCCTGGGCGTGCTGTTTGGCATATTTTACATTCTATCGCGCAGGTTGTCTCAGAAATTCTCTCAATATTTTAGTTTTCTCTCGGCAATTTGCTTTCTGTTGTTTTCGTTTACTTTCTTCCCGTTTGCAATACATAGTTTCTTTATTGAAATCCCCCTGTGGAGTCGGTTGGTTATTGTGGTGATTGGCGTTGTCCTGTGGTTCTTTCTTCCTCTCTTGCGCAACAAAACATCCTGCGGTCTTATAATATATCTTTATTCTTATATCATCTACTGGAAGGTGTACGAAGCTAAGATAGTAGGCATTGTGTTTTCTGTTGAGCTATTTAATCGGTTGCTCTTTGCCTCTGGGTTTATTTTGTGGTTTGTACCCTATTTGGACGCATCACGCAAGAGACTCATCCATGTCTACAACAGGTAAGAAATTAATTGTTGTTCAATGTCTTCGTACATCCACACAGGTTTACTGTTCACTGTTAAAAGTGTGACGCAATGGGCAAACGTTTAATGGCTAGTCCCTCAGTACTCTACCCAGGAAGCAAGTTCTTCTAGCCAGAAGTGCAAATGAGTGTTAAGGAATTGTTATTATGACCCGAAAAACATTCTGGGGCCTGAAGTACAGCCTGAGATGAAGTAGGATTCCATGTTGTGGGCCGGAGGGGGGAGGGGGGCGGGAGGGGAAATACGCCTAGTCTTTCTTCCAGTGCTGGTCCCATATAAGCTTACTGACGAACGAAGAAAGATCTACACTTGTCCTGAATTTGGACAAGGTCCAGTCGGCAGTATTGAGAAATGATGGGGATTTGAATTTTTCTAAGTACAGCACTGAGCTGAAGCTGAATTGCTGTAGCTTTTTGAAAGTAATGCAGCTCATTTCTGGAGTAAAAAAAGACTAGAAAACAGGGAATTGTGACCAAGAGCTAAGCTTAACTTGAAAGTGAATACAATCCATTTATCATTCTTAGAGGACCACAGGAATGTATGCCAACTGAAAGTAAGACGATGTATGCCTTTCAAAAATATTTACTGCAGCAGTTAGCATCGAGCAGGTGGAGGTTGATGGATGTTGCAGTGCGACTAAATGTCGACGGTTTTTTTTTTTTACTCATTTGGGTTTCTCTTAACCCGATTGATTTGCAGGTGGAGACTTCGAAAGGCATTTTACTCAAAGGAAAGCCAGGTCACAAGGGGATGGCTGGAAAGGTTCCAAGAAGTCTTCTGCCCTTTGTGGACATGTCTAAAGAAAAGCAGTAGACGGAAGTCTAGACAATACACAGAGCAACAGGCGGACATCCTTGGAAATCACGATCCGCGGGCTAATGACCCCACCATCGAAGGAACTAGGCCAGTAGAGAAGAGAGCCTTAAACTTGGGAGATCTAAGGGGCATGGAGCCCGAGTACATTTCAAACGTGACCGTCCACGACTGGAAGAAAAACGAGAATTCGGATAGAGATTCTGCTCAGCTGACAATGTCACCTACCAAAATCGAGCGGTTAGATAGCGAACCATCGTCTTTCGAGCAATTTAAAGGCAAAATGGAACCTCGAGATGTCGAATTATCAGACGCCATGGCCACCTCTGCAGCGGCAATTTCAGGTTATGACTCCTCTCTCAAAATGATCCGCCTCCACACGATTCTTGGATTTGAAATGGGAATCACAATGATCAGCAACTTCAAGGCAATAAAAGCTGAGTCTTGTTTCATGAAGGTAAGTAACTTGTTTAGCCCTTGAAACACCATAATTTCACATGATATGACATTACTTCATCGGGGAGAAGGGATGGCTCAGTGATGAGAGCGCTCGTCTCCCACCGCTGTGGCCCGGGTTCGAGTTTGTGTTGGTTCTCGTCCTTGTTCAGGGGGTTTTTTCTCTGGGTTCCCCGGCTTTCCTCCCTCCACAAAAACCAACTCTTCAAAATTTTAATTCGATCTGGAAGCAGTATAAGAAGAGCCACCTCGTGGATGGGCACTGTTAAATTCCATTCTATTATTATTTACATCATATAACTTGGTATGGGGTGGACATTACATGACATAACTTCACATGAGATTGATATTACATGACATAACTTGACATGAAATGGCATGTCACCCCAAGAGACAACACACCATGAGTCTAAAAATAACCAGAGAGGGATGACATTTGGAACTGATATGGCCCTTTTTGGGGATTCAGTCTCTTAGTTAGATTCTCTCTTGGCAAGGATATAATATGCTGCACGTAACACCCTCCAAGTCAGAGCGGTTTCTCGAAGGAGAAATCGCAAGGCGACTAGCTAGGTTTAATTACCAATTAAAGCTCCATGCATTCCTATACCGTGCTTTTTGTTTACAACAGGTGGTCCCACTTCTCATAAATATTCTCCGTGGTCTTCCATTAATCGTTGTACCAGCCATTTACTATCGTGGAGGCAATGGAGCAACGTCAATTGAAGCTGGAGTAATTACATTCTTTGTAATTCATCTTATTTTGGCTTTGATTGGAAGTTTCGCCGACACGGGAACTGAAAACCCAAAGTGGTGGCAGAAGATAGCTGGGTAAGGATGTAACCCACAAATCTGATTTTTACGTCGACATCTCTCTGAAATGATACAGAAGTCCTATTGCACCAACTTCTATATTATTGTTTCGAGGTCAACTTTAAGTTAGCTACTGTAGATTGAAGCATTTCCAAATCAGGAAGTACGTTAGCTTTGGTCTGTTTCGTCAACCTCCAGGGCAAGTCAATGTACCCTTTCGAATCACGGGACACTAGACATCAATATGTCCGCTTTTTTGGGTGAAACCATCTAGGCATTAACCTCGCTCATACTGTTTTATCCTTACTTTTCCATGGTTCACTGTTAAAAAAGGATAACGCCAAGTGTTAGTAGGTCGTTGTGAAGATGGCCCACGACCAGTTATGATAGCGTTCATTTGTTTTCAATTGTGGCGTAATACGGTTTAGAAAATCCAACATATGTTGCATCACTAAATCTTTAAAACAAAAGAATAGTGTAAATCCGTCGGATTCCAGTTATACTGTAAAACAAAGGGTCGCCAAAGCTAGGAGGTCATGTGCAGGTTGAAGAAACCCTTTGTCTGAACGATTGTCGTTCCTGATATATTTTGCTGTTTTTCAAGGTGGTTTATCGTGCATGTGTCGTTTGTGAATTTTGTGAGAGAAGCCCTTTCCATGGAGAACATCGGCCCCGTCCCACCCCCTGTGATGCTACTCAGCGATGGAGGCCACGTGGAAAATCTAGGGATTTTGCCATTGTTAAAGAAAAAACTCAAGAAGATTATTGTAGTCGATGGCAGTGGTTATACTGATGAGAAGTCCTATGGAGAAGTTCTTCTGAAAGCATTGATGCTCGCTCGTACCAAGCTGAACTGTTCGTTTATTGGCGAAGGTGGTCGGGACGTCATTTCAGACCTGTTGGAGAATTTTGTGAAACCGCAAAAACCAAATGAAAGAAAACCACGACATTACAAGTTTGTATTTGAAAATTTTTTATTTGAGTTTTCATTTCCTTCCTTTGGTAGTAGACGCGTTGGCTAGTGCAAAAATGTCGCGTTATATAAGGGGTCTACTTGGGGTGTTTTCATGCAAGACACTCAATTGTGCCCTAACGATTCTCTTAGGAACCCACCCATTGTACACTTACCATGCTAAAGAGTTCTTTTCGTTAGGAATGTTTTACGTCCTGGGACGAGGAGCTTGCAGAGGCACTCCCTGGAATTTTTCGTAGAAGAGTACCGTCCGGTTTCGAAGTATTAACAGTGTGGTCCCAATAACGCGCACATCCTAGCGACCACCAAATGAGCGGGGATTCGAGATATCCAGGGCAAAAAAACAGTGGTATACATTGAAACGGGTCCACGCCCTGGGAAACGCTGCCGCAAGTTCGTCATAACGGGACTCCACCGTTGTTTTACACTCGATGGTAGTTTTGAACTCTTCACATAGGTACAGTAAAGGGTTTGAACCCGTGAGTAACAGACGATAGCGTTTTGTGATCGTCCGGGACAGGGTAGTACTGAGAAGGACTGTTGTTGGTGACAGTCACTGACGTTTCCACAATCTATGCGAAAGTCATCATCAGAGTCAAGACTCTGAGTTTGACTTTACTCTGTCGACTTGACTCTGATGATGACTTCCACTCAGTTGTCGAAACGTCAGTCAGTCACCAACAACAGTGGTTCTCAAGACTACCCCATCCGAACGATCACACTACACGGTCGTCTTCATATTGAGTAAAAGAAATGTCTTCTTTTTACTAGATTTAGAGTTGAATACTACCAAGATGACGCTGGCAAAGTTGGAGAAGGTGAAATTCTATTCATTAGACCAAGAGATCCACGAAAAGGTGAAGAAAGCGAAGTCAAAACCTGGGAGGAATTTGGTTTTAATTTGGAGCCACGTGACTGGGGAGATAGTCCGTATCTGACGGAAGAGGACGTCGATAAATTGACCTTCTGCTGCTGTGCGTGTTGCAACAAAAAATCCTGGCTGAGTTGCTTGTCGGTGGCGCTGTGTAACAAGTTCCCCAACACCTCCACGGCCAATCAATTCTTCACTCCATTGATGTTCTCCGCTTATCACCGTGAGGGTTTCCGAGCATGCGTCGAAGCTAATGCTGCTGAATTTCTGAAGGATGACCGAGGTGTCCTAAGACGAAACAGCGAGAATGATAATATTGATGTGTGATAGACACTTGTGAGCCCGGTGTGTTTATTTTGTCAGCAAGACATTGTGTGCACGGTAGAGTATTATATTTGCACTCAGAACAAAATACAACTGAATTTTATAACCCCATTTTGAGAGTTTTAACTTAACAAGTTTATTAAGAGCTCAACATGCATTTTTACGTTATGGTTTTCTGTTTTTAATTACTTAAGCAATTAATTAATTAAATTAATTAATTCGTAGTTAATTAATTAATTAATTTGTCTTAATTAATTAAGATTCGATGGCCAATATAACTTGATACAGTTTCAAGTTCATGTCTTTTATTTGTATGAGTGTTTAACTGCATTTCCCCGACCCTTTTTATACAGGAATTATGTATGAGCACGATTTTGGTTAAATGATCAATAAGTAGAATGGTTTGCTTGTAAAACAATTAGAACGGATTTCCGACACATTTCAAAAGTTTTGAAATAGCACAACAATCTTGATCAATAATTTTATGCTTGGATGGCTTTTTATGCGTACGTTAAGTGTAACAACAAACGTTATTCGTAGCTTTTATGACCAGGAAAGAGCTACATTCCTTGCCTTGTTCCTGTTTGTTTTAAATGGCCGATGTAGCTTGATATAGCTTGCAGGTCGGTCGGTTCATGCCTATTATTTGCTTGCGTGTTTACCTTCATTGCAAAGTTGTATATGAGTACTTTAGGTAATAGAAAAATTTGGGTTACAGTAAGATGGCTTGCTTGCAGTTGTACAATAGTTAGTAAAGATTTTAAACAAATCTCGTTATACTTAAGAATATTTTTAGCAACCTACATTAATTTAAGTCCTCAGCCGATTTTTGGTTGTTCTGGGTGAACTTTACCTGTTAGCTTTTGTGCGTGATAATTAATAAAGAGCGTGTGATCTCAGTCATTGCTGGTGGAAATTTTATAAACCCAGTCCCAATAGTGTAAAGACTTAACTTGAGTCCCACTATCTCCATTTTAGATATCTAAACTTTCCATTATTTTGAAGCGCCTAGTGTCAGCAAGAGTACGTCACTTGACAACAAACTCGTTATCATGAACCTTTGCGCCGGTGCTAACGAGGCTGAAAAATGCAGGACTCCAACAGCCCATATTAACGATAGCCGCCATGATGGTTTTCGTATTATAATGCAAATTAGCCACGTTGTCCGCCAGGGGGCAAACATTCAAATGGTTCCCATTTTCCCGAAAATCGGCTCGCCTAAATGGTCAAGTATCTGTACCAAAATCACATTTGGGAGCCAAGTTATGGAATAATGATTTTATTATTAATTTAAGTTTGAAAAAGTTTCTCGATAACTTGACTTATTAACTACGCGAACCGTTTTCTTTTTTATAAAAGCGCCGAAATTCTGTAAAACTTGGAATATCACCCCAATACTGAAACGAAAGCATGGATATGAAAAACAATTATCAGACATAATAAGAAACCAGGTGAAATTTTAGCTTGTTTGCCCCCTCAGAAATCACGTGC